CAAAAATTTCCTTTACAAAATGGTGGCAGAGTAAGTGGAAGCTACACTGACACACTCCCAGGACTAAACTGGAATTAGAACTAAAATACAGAAAAACCATTATGAATAATCAACTGAAGACTAGCTTGAGAGAACTCTGATAGCCAAGGATGAAAAGTGGAGACTGAATAGAGACTGGTAGAAAGTACAAAAGTACCAAAGGACTGGCCAGGCTTCCACAGACATCAACTGAAGTTCTGGAGGGATATCTCAGCTGTGTGGGGTTCCCACTGACAACTGTGGGGTCTAAACCCCAAGCTGGGATCCCAGCCCAGAGCACCAGAACCAAGAAAGGTTCCCATATAAAATCTACCTGTGAAAAACAGCAGGGTTGAGATGGCTGGAAATGCAGGCACCCACTTAAAGGGCCAACACACAAAATTTTGTGTGCAACCATTCACCTTGGGCTCTGGTAGAGGGAAAGCAGAGTGGACTAGAGCTTGTGAGCAGAAGCCAGGTTTGGAGTCTCTGGATTAGAGCTCAGAAGCCAGACACCTCAGTTACCAGTCTGAAGTCATTCCCTCATATTGCAGAGGACATCTTTCTCCGTCAGACCTTTACCACCCAGGCAACTTTTGCTTTGGATGAAAGCAATTGCCCCACCCTATTGGAAAACCCCTTGTCCCACCCTGTGGAGTTTCTAAGACCCATTAGGAGACTGTGAATAACAAACAGCATGCAGGCAGAAGCAATTGCCCCATCCTGTTGGAAAACCTCTTGCCCCACTCTGTGGTCAATAACCTGAGGTTAATCAAGACTAAATAATAATCAGACTGCAAATAGAGACAGGTCTCTGGAGGCTTTGAGGCTTTGCCTGATCTAATTCAGGGCCTCGGGCTAGGGAAAGCAGACCTTAGTGCACATCTTGGTCCATTTCAAAGGCACCTGGACCCAGCAAAGGGAGCCACAAGCTATGGATTGCTGATAGCTCCAAACAGGGTCTCAGGGCCAGTAAGAAATAGCTTATGACACTATCCTCCACTAGATATTGGGAATCATAACAGATCACAAACCCAAACAGGCAGCCAAAATGGGGAGACAAAAAAAAAGCCCCAAATGAAAGAGCAAGAGAATTCTCCAGAAGAAGAGCTAAATGAAATGGAGATAAAAAGTTTATCTGATATAGAGGTCAGAATAATGATGGAAAAGATGCTCAACAACATAAGAAAATATATGGTAACTATGAAAAAAGATCAGTCGGAAATAAAGAATGACATAATACAAATAAAGAACACATTGGAAGGAATACACAGTAGATTAGGGGAAGCCAAGGATCAGATCAGTGACTTAGAAAACAGTGTAGAAGAAAATCACTCAATCAGAGAACCAAAAAGAAAAAAAAACATTAAAAAACAGGAGGACAGCTTAAGGGGACAATGTGAAACGTAACAATATTAGAATAACAGGTGTGCCTGAAGAGCCAGAAAGGGGGAAAGGAATAGAGAATGTGTTTGAAGAAATAATGGCAGAAAAATTCCCTAACCTGGTGAAGGAAAAAGTCAAACAAGTTTAGGAGGCCCAGAGAATCTCAAGCAAGAAGAACCCTAACAGGCCCATGCATAGACACATCATAATTAAATTGCCAATAATTAAAGACAAAGAGAGAATCTTAAAGGCAGCAAGACAAAAGCAATTTGTTATATACAAAGGAGCTCCCATAAGCCTGTCAGATGATTTCTCATCAGAAACTCTACAGGCCAGAGGGAATGTCATGAAGTATTCAAGATAATGAAAAGCAAGGATCTGAAACCAAGATTATATCTAGCAAGGCTATCATTCAAAATAGATAGTGAAATGAAGAGCTCCACTCCGCCACAAAAAAAAAGGCTAAAGGAAATTATCACCACCAAACCAGCACTGCAATAAATGCTAAAGAGATTGCTGTAATGAGAAGAAATAGAGACAGAAACATAGGTCTGCAGGGTTAATTTTAATTACACAAACTTATCTACATAAGTAAAAAAAGGGTAAACTAATTTGACATTTTTTAAACATACACATTCAAAAAATCTACTTTATTATATAATAGAATTTCAGCTTTAATGGACACCCCCTTGTCTGAATTAGTCTGTTATGTGGAGCTTTTACTGTAGTTTTGCCTTGAAGTGCCCTCAACTCATCTGCCTCCTTGCCTTTGCGTACATGCCTTCCACAGCCTGGAATATCTTCTCATCACTGTCTGCTAACTTGCTTTGGTGCTCAAATGCCATCTCCTCTATTCTAAAATAGTGTCCCTTTCCTCATTTACACCATTCAAAGTTGTGTATCTCTCACAAAATTTACTTGGCACCATGGCTAGAGCTAGTTGTCATCTGTTAGGCTTCTGGCCTAGGTATGCCTGGCATACATTCAATAAAATGTTTATTGACTTCAATTCTGCTTCAATTCTCTATGCCCTTTCTTGCCTGCGCCCACACCTGGCACCTAATGCATCCCCTGGCATGTTGCAGACTCCCGGTACAAGCATCATGAGGAGAGTGAGGGCTGGCACATGCAATGGGCAAGTCTCCATAGTGCAAGGAGAATTAGGCTTTCCCTTCAGTGAGGTTAAACCTCACATGAAAGGTATGAAGCTGGGCTGCAGCCAGTTGGGTGGGGATCAGAGCCCAGGAAGAGAACATGTCCTAAAATACAGACTATGAACCAGGGCAGATACCCAGAGGATTTTAGATGGCACATAGGTAAACTTTAAAAAACTTTAATAATTATATAACCTCATATTGATTAAAAATAAATAGAATTAGCACATTAAACCTATTATTTCATAAATATGCTTTAATAAAAGTTTTTGCATTTGAATAAAGATGAGTTGATTTAAAGAAAAACATTGCATAAATAATGCTACAGGATATGGGCAACTTTGGGACAGGGAAAATACTTTGGGGAGGTGGAGCTAGGAGTGAGGGGGTGTGTTCTGAGGGTCGCATCTGCTGAGAGTGGCCTCAGGAATTAACAAAATTGTTTACCTAACTGAGTTACTGTGCAAAACCTTTGTTTGAAAGGCAGAATGCAAACACAATCTTTTCTCATCACTACTTTTTCTTCGTTGGAGTGAAGATATGTGCTGGTGAATGTCAACTCTCATCTCCAGCTTTGCAGCCTGGGGCATCAAGTTTCTAATGACCATGGGTCCACACCCTTCCCAGGACCCAAAACACCCAAATATGAATTTCCTTTTTTTTTTCTGTAAAGCACAGCTCTTTCCAGAAAGAAAACCACTTCAAAGGCAATTCTCTTCTGGCATACATCTCAGGGCTCCATTCTAGATCCACATTCATCCTCCTTATTCAATTACGTGATCAAAGCTGAAGTGTTTGTCCTACTTTAGGGTTTAAAAACATCCAGGGGAAAACGAGGAGCATTTAAAATTACCTTATTTTATTTTTTTGCCCTAGCTGGTTTGGTTCAGTGGATAGAGCATCCACCTTAGGATTGAGGGGTCCCAGGTTCAATTCTGGTCAAGGGCACTGCCCGGGTTGCTAGCTCAATCTCCAGTTGGGGGAATGCAGGAGACAGCCGATCAATGATTCTCTCTCATCATTGATGTTTCTAGCTCTCTCTGTCCCTCTCCCTTCCTTTCTGAAATCAATAAAAAAAATATTAAAAAAATAAAGCTACTTTTTTTTTTAATGCTACACATCTTCCTATGGGAGAATTGGAATCCACTCTCTGTTCTCTTAACTAGTCTCCAGCCACAAAGTCAGGTGGGAGAGTTAACATGGGCAATCCCAGGCATGAACAATTCGGTTATATCTCCAGCCAGGTGTTTAGTGGGCTTGCTCTCACTGCCACACAGTCCCTCCCACTGAGAGACCTCTTATTAAAATTAAAACCGAGAAAAATCTGAAACATTACTTCATAAGGATCCTCCAACTACTGGCTCTAGCAATTTGCTCATTTCAATGCTATGATATGGAGCTTGCATCTCCTAAAACAGGGCACACTTTATCCTGCACATCAACACTCTCAGGTTTGAGGCCTTGGTAAAAAAAAAAAAAAAAAAAAGAGCAGCAAATGTGACATACTCAAAAAGATTTAAGTGAACAGATTGCCTACTGGTGGACTGATTTTTCTGTATAGAAAAATTTATGCTGTGATTTTATCAGACCATAAAAGTGCACTTTTTATCAGGAACATTGTGAATATACAGCAGCACTGAAGGTGTACGACCACTAAATGATTCACAGTTATCTATCTTCTCCACAGATTCCTTATGCACTTACCATGTTTTAATGCATAGTTTGCTCAAAAAACAATATTCTTTATGACCCTTCCTGCTGGGGGTCTTGTCCCAGCATCTAGAAGTGTTCAGGAATCTGGAGAAGGCGCTGTGTGTAAATTATTAAAGAGTCCAGAGACGAAACATAATTTTGGAAGGCATTTTGGGGAGCCAGAGAAGACTTAGCTAAAGGAACTAAGTTCTCCCTTGTCTCAGAACCCCTTGCTTTTTATTAACAGAAATTGTCCTAAGGCAAGGTATACACACCAAAAGCCAGGGTTTAGTATACAGAATCCATTGTCAGATTGGAAGAATTGCCTTCTGCTGTTCAGGTGTTTGGCCAGGAGGAGGCAATAACATGTAGATTGAAATGCCCTCAGCTGTCTGGCAGCAAGCAATCATTTATGCATCCTTTTCAGGTTTGGGGAAATGCCCTCAGCCATTTCCAGATGATTCAGCCCTGCTGACATGCTGGAATTGGCTTCCGGCACTTTCCAATATAAAAATGTTTACTGACTAGCAGCAATATATGGGTACCATGGGGAGGGACTGTAGGAAGGGGAAAGCTTTTTGCTTTCTCCACACCTCCCTGTCCTCATCCCTTTCTCCTGAACTCTTTTAACCAGTACCTAACCTTATAGAAGAAGGTGCCCTTCCCAAAAGTGGGTGCTAAATTCTGACTTCAGTACTTAGGCTATAAGATGGAAATCACTGATTAACCTTCACCCTCTTCTCTTTTCAGTTCTATATCCATTTACAGTCCCAAGGAGAATCCAAATGTATTTGATGCTGTGGCATTCTTCCAGTCCATGGGGAATTTCCTGGGGATCTTTGCCGGCTCTTTTGCAATGGGATCTGCGTATGCTGTTGTTACTGCACTGATATCCTTTGTCTGCATGGGGAGAGCTAGGGACTGTGTCTTTGGAATGTTTTGGGAAATGGACAACCACCAAGCCTGCAAATGGTTAGTCTGGTTCAAGGATGATACAACACCACTGGGGCCATCTGAATCACCCTCCAGGCAGAGGTTGGTACAGGTGAGAGAGGGGCCCAGGCTCTCTTCTTGTCCATTTCCAGTTCTATCACAACTGACACTATCTGATCATAAGATATTAACTATCTTAAAAATTATTATCTCAGAAAACAGGTAGGTAGGGGCATCAGGATTGGCTGTATTAGGGTCCAAAGGAAAAAAAAATGAAGGTACAATGTCAAGAACAGGGCTTAATTGACTAGAAATGATAAAGCAAGTATCCATATCCTCTACCTCCTTTTCAAGCTTGCATCAATCACTAGCTCACAGTGCTGACCAAGCCAAAGGTCATTGTGGGTCTAAACAAGCATCCATGGCTACTACCTGGAAAGGGACCAGTAAGCAAGGCAGAAAATATGTCTGCCATATCTGGGCAATCTCATTCCCTCTTTTGCAGCAGAGAGGTTGGAGGATTAATAGAGCTCTTAGAGGATTTAAGCCAGATAATGAAGCTGCTCTGGTGGGCGGTTCACTTAGAGCAGTTGGATGGGGCAAAATAAATCAGAGTTGAGGAGGAAAGCCAGAAGGCCAATGTTAAGTGTGAGAGTTTAATGAAGGCCTCAGAGAAGATTAGAGTAAAGGATTAAAAACTAAAAATTTCTGAGGAAAAGAGAAGGAAGAAAGTGTAAGAGGCGTCCAGGCGTCCAGGTAAAAAAAAAATGTTGGGGTCTTTTTCCATGGTGACTGACCAGCTACTAACAGGCTGAGCTTTACTAAGGGTTTCTAAGATATCGGAGTATGAATAAAACATGGATGCTGTCTTCAACTGGTGACAAACTTTGAAAGACAATCTCTACATAATAGCTGGATAGAAAGTGGATGCCAAAGCCACAGCCAATTTATTAGTACTCTAAAAATTGAAATGGGAATGAGGACACTGTGTCTGGAATCATCTAATAGACTCGTGGCCAACCTCATGATTCTGGAAAATAATTCGAAAAGCAGTATTTAGATGCTAAGTTAGACTTGGGCATGTGAGAGGTAGAATATAGGCAAAAGTTACAAGATAAGTGATTCAAGGAAAATGGGGTGGGACCAAGGTGGCGAATTGTGAATGTGCCTGGGAGGACCACAGCGTTAGGGTGGTGAGCGATGGAAGATGAGGGAACACAGGGGGATGGAGTCAGCTGCAGAGCTTTTAGGAGTATCATTCAAAGGAAGTGACACACTTGAAGTCCTGTTTTAAAACATAATGATAACTGGTATGTCAGATCAGGATCAGGGGGATTAGAATCAAGGAAAACTGATGATTAATTATAGGGGAAACATCTGGAAGGAGACCAATATTTAGAATAACTTAGTTGTTGATATCTCTATAAGAGATAAATAAAGGGAGAGAAACCAAGTCCACTCCTAAGGTTTTTTCTGAAAACCCTGGAGAATTCCAACTCATTGACAGAAATAAAGTAAGTCAGAAAAGGTAGGGCTCATTTCTAACAAAAATACTGATTAATAATCTACTCAGTATTTATGATATGTTGGGATGCCTAATTTGTTTTACATGCACCCATTTGACTTTCACAATAATCATATCACACAGATCCTATTTTTATTGGACACTGAAACTCAGAACGGGTAAGTTATTGCTCAAGGTCATGCAAGCTAGTAGGCAGAGCCATGATTCAAACCCAAAGAGTGAAACCCAGAGACAGGCCATGCTCCTGATTACTACTCCCCATTGCCTCTTAATTCTTAAGTGGAATTATAATGGAGGTCTCAGGTTTAGAGTAATAGTAATGGTGATAACAACATGTAGTAGATGTCAGCATGTGCCAGGGATTTTATGTGTATCTCCTCATTTTAATCAACCCTGTAAGACAGGTTATAATTAGCCTCACTTTAACATGGGGAAACTGAGGTCTAGGAGGTTAAGTAGCTCACTCTGGGTCACATATCAGTAGTAATTAACATGATAATAATAACATTTGTTGGGAACACTGCTATGTGCCAGCCATTGTCCTTAGTATTTTGCATGGATTATCTCAGACAACTCATATGAGAATCTCGGAAGGGAGAGACTGTTACTTCCCCAAGTTTACCGCTGAAGAGGCTGTATAGCCAGGACATTTCAGGGCAGGCATTGAAACACAGGCTTTTGGTTCCAGAGCTGCTCAAGGTGGAGGAGCTGAGCCCGAAGCTCTCCTCTGCCTGACATGAGGGAATGCATAGACACAAAAGTAAATGAGTCTATACCAGCAGCAGTTCTCAACCTGTGGGTCGCGACCCCTTTGGCGGTCGAACAACCCTTTCACAGGGGTCGCCTAAGACCATCCTGCATATCAGATATTTACATTACAATTCATAACAGTAGCAACATTACAGTTATGAAGTAGCAACGAAAATAATTTTATGGTTGGGTCACAACATGAGGAACTGTATTTAAAGGGCCAGAAGGTTGAGAACCACTGGCTCTATAGGGAAGGGGGAAAATTCCCAGAGATTGAAAGTTTGCCATGAATTGGATCAGATCTGGACAAAAGGGTGGAGACAGAAGAGATTGCGGCTCAGTCACAGAGGCAAGTCAATCATGCTGCACCTAGTGGCCTTGGCACTCACCAACTAGGTGCATGGGAAATAGGTGCACAGGCATTCCCTGATGGTAACAACCTCCCACTTTGTCCACAGGAGGTTAAGGCTCCTTAGGGTGCAGGCCTCTGGATGAACTTGGGGCTTGATGTAGAACTGAACTCCTTTCTGGAGAAGGGTGAAAGAAACAAATGCCCTATGCCCACCTGACCTCCTGAGATGTCTTGGCAACAAAGTAGAAGAAGGAGCCAAAGAAACAAGCTCCCCCTGGAAACAAAGCCTACCTCCTGGCAGTGAAAGGGGATGCTGAAAAGGGTCAACTGGCCGCCCCTGCTTTCCTCCAGTTAAGAATTAGTTACAGATCCTTACTGAATCTATTTTCAGGAAAGGATTTTTACAAGACAAATTAATTTAAATCACACTAATAGAAAAACTTGCATATCCCTGTTGCTTACCAGGTACACTCTTCTGAGTGCTTAATGTATAGCAACTGGTTTATACACCTAGTAGGTAGGTTGAATTATCATTCCCATTTTCACATAGGGAAACCAAGGCACAGAGTGACCAAGGGACATGTCCAAGATGACACAGTAGGTCTGAACCCAGGTGGACTTGACCTCCAGAGGACATATTCTCAATAGTGACATTCTGCCTCTTCTTGACATTTTGTGCTTCTAATACTTTACAAAATATTTTTAATATACTTTGTATTATTTTACTTTTCACCCTTGTATGAGTAGGAATTATTCTCCTTGACAATTCACATAGGATAGAAATGAGACTCAGAGAGGTTAATATATTGCTCAGAAATCATCTGGCCAGTGACTAGCAGAGCCAAGACATGGACCTGGATCTTCTACCCCAAGGGTCATACTTTTCGTTTCCATGCCCTGCTGCCAAACACCTGTTAATGTGAATTCTTCTTCAGATTTTTTTTCTAGATAGATAAAAAATGCAACATTTCATCTCATTTGTAGAGTGTTTTTGCCTAACCCTGGACACAATTGTGATGTAAACCTTTCCCACTGATCACGTACTCCTAATCATTTCTCCATAACCCATTCTCCACATAGCCTGGGTCACTAAGTCTTTGCTCTATTTGCAATATGTAGGCCATTGGCCAAGTGTTATTCTGGTCAAAATGAACATCTGTCTGACCTAGAATTAATATACATTTTCATCTACCCTACTTAGACCAAGTGGATATGGTCACTGAATATAATACTGCTCCTGATCCTATTTCCCACTCCAGGAGAGAAGAGTGTTCCAGGTGCTTTGTCCAAAGAGTAGCCCTTTCCCGGGAGCAGTGGCCTCCTTTGGTGCTGACCTGCCTGCAGCTTCTCATTCACCCACAATCTGTGGCTTTGTTCTCAGGATCTGCTACAGTCTCCTGAGGAGCATGTCCCAAGGCCTAAATTCAAATTCAAGAGGTTGTGTACAGTTAGCTAGTTTCTTCCTCTTAGTAAGACACTTTTTCTTTTTTATCTGAACACAGGTTTGTATTTTTATCAGAGTGTTAAGCACCCAGTGAAACAATGAAGCTGTGCTGACCTTCACATAGCCTTACGGAGTTACCGTGCTAGCCAGGTCTGAAACCCTTTCTCTTACTCAGAAACTAGCACAACCACATCAGTATCTCTCAGCCAATAAGTAGACTTTGCTAGGTGGCTCAGGAGGTGGAGGAAATAAAGAGAGCCGAGTCGATCAGAAAAGAAGGAAAAGGAAAGGTTTTATTCTGCGTCCCCGGGCGACCCAGGGACCCCAAGGACAGGGCCAGTGGATTCGCGCCCACAGGGAGGGGGGACTTTGTTTATACTGCTGTTGGGTGAGGGGCGGGGACATGAACTGAGGAAGTCCCCACCACAGGAGGTCAGCAGGGTATTCAGGAAGGAGTCAGTATCTGTGTGGGGGTCGTGTGGATTCCAGGGAGAAGCCAGTATCTGTGTCTGGCACGCTGATCTGTTTGAAATTCCAGGGAGGGTCCATTATCTCATCACACGTCTGCATATATCTGATCCTGAGCTCTCTCCGACCTACCAGACTTAGCTGTCAGAGCGGCTGTTTCCCTTAACTTGTCTTCGTCACTTGACCAAATTTACCAAACTGCATGAGTTCCCTCTGCTGGAGACGGGCCTGCTCTTCCTCCTGTCTTGGAGCGCCTTCCTGTCTGCGGAAGCAGCAGGCCTCACAGGTGTGTGTCCCACTCAGCCTTCCTGGGGACTCTGGGAGAGACAAATAATAATTCATCCATTTTGTACACAACAGCTTAACTGAAAGTCTCCAAAATGCCATTTCCTCTTCTGTCCTTGCTGGTCAGGAGGGGATGTTAAAATCTACAAATGACTAATTAATAGAGGTGATGGGTAACTTTAGGAATAATTGTTCACAGCAAGTGTCCAGGATGTGCAAGTGTCCATACCATGTTTAAAATCTTTGCACATATACTATGGCAGGCCAGAAAACAGCTACGTGAGGCTCCATAGCTCAATACCTCTTTACCATAGAAAGTCTATATATAGGGTGCTCTGAGATGGAATAGTTGATAGAGAAAGGGGCAGTCCCTAAGGTCCCCAGGGCCATAGATCCAGTGATCTAGATTCAGCAATTAGATTGCCTTTCTGCAGCAGTGAGGGTTTGCACTTGGCTAGCTGCAACGATTGGGTGCTTTTCTATGTAGAAGAATCACAGTGGCTTCTACAAAATGTCAAAGCTATTTCTTTCTTTTGGCCCCTTTCCTGCTTCTCCTGGGTTTCAATCCCTGATCCTTGATATTCACTACATCTTAACTAACATTCAAGTGGTGAGAATCCCTCCTGAAGTGTTAATTGGTAACAGGATATCTCCCTAAAGTAATTTGCATTTTAATAGTTGGTACTTTAAATCTAAATAATAATAAAAGTTGACATATTGAAAAGTAAACTATGCTACCACTGGGTGCTTGCTAACTGCCTTGTAGGAAGGTTCTCATTAATTTATAGAAAGATTAAAAGTTAGGAAACATATAAACCTGGTTTACTCACCCAATAGTAAGTGGTAGAGCTAAGTTTTAAAATTAGGAGATTTGATTCCAGAGCCTGGGCTGGTGGGGACCAAGCATCACTACCTTGAATAAAATTTCACCTATGAAATATGAGGTAGCCCCTAAGAATAGAAGATATTTGGGCCCCAGGGGTCTGCCTGGTCCATTTGCCCCTAGGCTGTTTTTGGCTGTCCTTTGAACATGAATTTCTTGGCAAATCTTTTTTCGTTTTATTGATCTCTATTGTTGAGAGTATTACAGATGTTCCTCATTTTCCCAAAAAGCAAAGGCCATAACAAGAGACAAGGAAGGACACTACATAATACTAAAGGGATCATTTCAACAAGAGGATATAGCCCTGGTAAATATATATGCACCCAATATAGGAACACCTAAATTCTTGGAAGAATTTAAGGGACAGATTGATAGCAAGACAGTCATAGTAGGGGACTTTAACATCCCATTGACATCACTGGATAGATCTTCCAGACCAAAAAATCAACAAGGAAACAGTGACCTTAAGTGACACACTAGATCAGATGTATTTAATTGATATTTACAGATCATTTAACCTCAAAGCTGAAGAATATATATTCTTCTCAAGTGCACATGGACATTCTCAAAGATAAAACACATGTTAGGACACAAACTAAGTCTCTATAAGTTCAAGAAGATTGAAATTATAGCAAGCATCTTCTGGGATCACAATGGCATGAAACTAAAAATCAACTACAATAAAAACACTCAAAAACATTCAAACGTATGGAGGCTAAATAGCATGTTATTAAACAATGAATGGGTCTCCAATGAGATAAAGGAAGAAATAAAAAAATTCCTGGAAACAAATGAAAATGAACACACAACAACCCCAAATCCTGGCAAAATTTTGGTAATGATGTCTGTCCTGTTGTTCTGGGCAGTTGTAGAGCTGCAAGGACCAAGCAATTCCCTCAGATGTTGAGTATGTCTGTCGCTCACACAGAAAGCCACCTTGCCAGTTGTTATGCCCAGATTTCAAGATTTCCAAGAAACCACATCAGGGAGCCAGCCAATCCGATGCAAAAGCATAAGAATCTGTATTTCAAGCTAGCTTGAGCTCCCCGTCCACCAGACTCACCGACACAACGGCAAACCAAGTGGCTGAGAGACCGAACCCCGCGTAGAGACGGGAATTTTATAGCGGGGGTTGGAGTAAGGGGAGGAGAAAGGACTGTGCTCTGCCGCCTGGGTGTGGCTAGCAGAGTAGGACGTAGCCCCTACCCTGGGGCAAGATGGAGGACCTAGCCCTCGCCCTTTCATTCCCTCCTTTGTCTTGGAACTTCCGGCTCAATCATGAGACGGACTGCATTTCTATTCCACCATTGCTAGAGGCCCGTACTGGGCATATCTTAACAAATGGTCTGGTGGAAGGGAAAGAAACCATTTTAGCTTTAACAATTTCTATTGAAATAGGATTTTTCTTCTTAAAATTCCTCCATGGCTATCAAAAAGCCAAATCAAGATTAATTTATCTACTGTCCTGATGTTTGCATAAACACAACAAGAATGGTAACTGACTACCTTTGCTGGAATCTCATGGTTGAATCTTAATGTGCCCCGTAGGGCCAGGAAGCCACGCCACCCAGCTGCCATCAGGCCTGCCTGCAGTATCTGCTGAGTTAGGTGAATCCCTCACCTGTAGCAACTCCACCTGAGCCCACGCTCTAGGCTTTAAGCCCATCTCAGTAGCCCTCCTACTTGTTGCGGCCCAGAGTGTGTGGGGGTTCCGCAGGAACGCAGAGGCATCCCTACTGCTCCCCTTCTACTCTTACCAACCGCCAATGATGGTAGGGCATGGGCCTGACGCTCCAGCGCCAGCCATCTTCAGGGCTTCCAAGCAGGATACCAGGCTTTCTTCGTGGCATTTTTACTGGCTTCAAGTCTTTAGAGCTCAGACAGGGCTCTTTAAAACATGATACTCCAGTCAAAGTTTTCCGTTAATAAAACCACTATTAGGAACCGGTCTTATTGAATCTATGCAAAGAAATGTATTGCCATGACTTATTTAGCGTTGCCAAATTTCGGAGGAATTACACAAGAAGAAAAATATACTGATCTACTCTAAGATTTTCTGACTTTTCTTGCCAATTCCTTTTGATAAAACAGTAATTGTTGGCATTAAATTTTCTTTCTATGCATAACCATGCCTCAGACCTTCTATTTTAAACAGGCCTTTTCCAGCTTACTACCCCTGACATGGGCATGGTCACAAAGGCCTGCAAGACAGTATTACAGGCTGCCAACTGTTAGCTGTCTCTCAACAGAGACCAAAACCTGATGGGCACTGTTCCTGCCCATTTGGGCACCTGTCCTCTTGGCAGCTAGCCATTCTTTACTTTTGGGGGTCACCCCACATAGTTCCCTTCCAGGACAGCCAGCACACATTCAAACCTGCAAGAGAATTAAAGGTCAATATAACATATCAATACAATGAAACATGATATTGGCATCATGGCCGCTTCAGGCAGCCAAATCCTACTAAAGTCTATTCTTGGCCTTTCTATAAATTGTCCTTGTCTCTTTGGAGCCATGTTACCAGCATCAGGCAGGTAGCAGGTTGCGTTGATCTCGATCGACACTCCATTTGGTGACGAAGTCTTTCCGGATCATGGGTGGGTCCGCTGACCAGACGTGGGTGTGATGGACCCAGGTCGCACGTGCAGGGCTGCCAGGGCCTCGTCTATGGCAGACAGGTAGTCAGGCAGCAGGTCCAGGAGACAGGTGGCTGGAAACACACCCCCGGCAAAGCAGCTTACCAGGCTCAGGACTTTCTGGCGGAAAGCTGAGGCTTCGGGGCTGGCTCCCGGTCGGCGTAGCACACAGATGGGCACCAGACCGCAGATGAGCGTGAGCACCAGCAGGAGCACCAGGGTCCCCAACTTCACCTCCAGGCCCACAGGCAGTGGGGGAGCCGAGGCTACTGCCTCTGGGCGCCACACCAGGAGCTCTGGTTCTCCCCAGGGCCCCATGGTGGCCGGCTGCTCCAGTAACTCTCAGACCTCGCGAGGGTCTCACTCCATGGCCCCCACCAGGTTCCATGGTTTGTTTCTACCAGTTCCCTTTGTGGCAGAGCAGCAACCAGGCCTCTTTCAAGGGAGTGCGCTAGGAGGGGGTATCAGCCCCTCCTTTGCTAGCAGTAACAGGTACCCAACCCTTTCAGTACATTAGACCAGCTTCATTCCCGCCTATCTTTACAGATTCCAAGGCCCATTGTCTTCCTTAATTAGTACTGGCCTGTATTATCACAGGCAGGGGGAAGGGCCCATTAAATCTTTGCCTTGAGGAACTGTGAGCTCCATCCTTAAATGTCCCAATCAGACTAGAAAAGCCACAAATACCTTTTAAGTTTACCCTAGAATTCCAAAATCCCAACCCAGCACAGAATATCACATAGCAAATCAAAGTTCCCAGCAAACAAACAGAGATGCTTACAAACATCAAATAAACATTTACATTTACACCTTTTCAGTGAACAAGTATTTTTACAGTCTTGGGCTCTTGAGCAGATAACAGGGACACCGCCCAAGTCCCCTGATGGGGGCCTGACAGGAACAGATGTGGGGGTCTTCCCTTTCCCATATTCCAGGACAGGATTCTTGACCTATGTCTTATTTAGATAGATACGGTATTCATCACAAACAAACAAACCCTGGGTCTCCAGAACACTGAACTGGAGCCTTCTAAGATCAGTATGAAACCAGTTTCTACCTGAAATAATTGTACTTTACTTTAGAAATTGGATTACTGCTACCAGTCCCTTTTAAAGAGATTAGCTTAAAAATAAATCCCAGAGGCAAGCACACTTCCTGCTTCATAGATGATTTGAACTTAAAAGTTTTAAGTTTCCAGCCAATAAGCCTGGCATAGCTGCTAAATTTCAAAATGGTCACAATTTTTCTGCTGGGGAAATCAAGTAGCAAACCCCATAGCTATTCACATGTAAATTTGACTATCAACTTCCTGGTGGTACTTGCCTCAGGGTGGGAAATTTCAAAAGAGCTATTTTAAATCGCCTTGGGAAACCAGCCTGCATTTCTTTGTCAGGTTCTTCTCCACCACTTTTTAAGGCCAAAACAGTCTCGGGTTTTTATTCTGTACACAGCAAAAGGTCAAGTTCAGCTTAAAACTATGCG